GGTTTGCTCTTTTGTATACCGCTCCAGAAACTGCTCCATCTGGGCTTTCTGATTGATCGAGTTCGTTGAACTTCGCGATGATGATGGTAACGAAGCTTGTAGTGACCTGGAATCCACATATTTGTAAATTCATACAGCCAACTGATACTCAAAAACTGTTACTGCTTTCATAAATGCATTTTGTAGATTTCCTCCAAAAGCTTCAAGAACTAAGCAGTATTTTAAATATGGCTGAAACCAAAAAAAAAAAGTAAATTATCTTGCGTGCATTATTTGAAGAGCGCGCATTAGCATAACCCAAGCTCAGAGTTAAAATCATTGGCAATGCGCACCGGGCAGGCCCGTGCAATCATGCATTTTTGCAATATTTCGTGCTGTTGTAAGATCGCTTGGAGTACCAGTAGCTAGAATTTATGAAAAAACCCATGACTAGAAACTTACGCAATTTTATCGTTCAGTCTCTTGATATGCTGTTTCAGTTGTTTTGCTTTTTCCTCGTCACGAGCAATATTCGCTTTGAGTTCTCGCATACGTTCCGCTGTTCGTGCCAGGACAACAGCATTTGTTGGCTTGGTTCCAGCGGCGTACACACTTGGCAGCAAGTTTAACAACTGCTCGAAGCCATCTTTAAGCGCACAACGTCTAAAGTGTTCGAATCACCATTAAAACCAACAAAAATATTACAGCAATTACCAGGAAGTAATTTATAAAGGAGATTCTCCCCTCCCCTACCCCATGAAATGTGTAAAATGAATGTTTTCTTTGGATTCATTTGCAAGATTCATAATAATACTTTCTTTTTTTTCTCATCTTTGACTAGTTTCTAGTTTTTACCACTTAAGCATCCAAGTCTAACTTGGCTGCTACGATCTAATACTATACAGGAAAGGCTTAGTAAAGAGGAGATTACGGATCAAAAGTATTTATAAATTGAGTTATCATCTCATTCGAAAAATTAACATAACGGCGGCTAGTCTTCAGGACAATTACTATATTACCAACCGCTGGTCAGACTGACATTGGTTCATACCGTCCATGTTTAGCCAAATAAAATGTGGTAAAGTGTTTTCCTGACAACTTGTTGTGCCTCGACAATGTCTAGTTTATCCCCACTTCCGGAAGTACCTGGGTTGGACAAAATCAACTTAATCCTCAAAAAATCTATAACCCCGTCAATCATTATCCTTGGACATCATATGAGTATTTTGCCTGTCGCCCAAGTACTATGCTCTCAGCAAGATCTGGGCTGTAAAATACAGTGAAATACTACTGAAAACAGGAAATATGCCCTGAAATATTTTCAGTGCACTGGAAAAATAAAAATTTACGAAAAAAAGAAACAAATAAAAATGTAAAACCTGTTTTGTTCAGCGTTGAGATGCAAGATGCGCTTCCTTTCAACAGGTTCAATGGTACTATCGGCAGCCACTGACCTAGAGTTTTACTTTGCAATTTTGAATTTTAGTGCGAAAAGTTCAAAAACGCTAATTAATTAAATACACCAAAATTCAAAAACAGTACTTTTACTCCTTCGGAGGATATCTTTCGCACTAAACCCCCATTGGAGTAGTAATATCCACTACGAATTTTCATTTAAACTTGCTTGCAAAAATGTGATGTTTAACAGCAGATATAATTTTGGCACAGCCTTCAAAATCGCTTACGAAACTACCGAAAAAAAGTCGAAGGAAATTTTCATAATCGAAAAAATCCATTTAGAAAAAAACATGATAAAAATATTGAAATTTTCTTTTCAGTAAAAATCTTAGTATCTTTTGCAAGAGCAGAAGGGTTAGTTGTTTTTGGGTGTTTTCGGCTGTGTTACTTAGGTCAGCGACAAGCTTCTTTTGCCCAGAGCAGCAGCTTTTTTGCTTACAGCATATAAATATATATGAATTTAGGCAGAGACTCGGTACAGCAGTGGAACTGCTAGGAAGGGGGTAAAGCATGAGGAGTGGAAGATATCGAATCACAGAACTGGGATCCCGGAGGTAAATAAAGCAGGAACATAAAAATTAGGCCTTTCTACAGAGAAAACGGTGGAAAAACTGAAATTTTCCTGGAAAAAATTTTACAAAATCGGAATCGCAAAAGTTAATAAAGCGGTAATATAACAGAGGCCCAAAGAAAACAGTGAAAAACCTGAAATTTTCCTCAATAAAAATTTCACAAAATCGGAGTTCCGAAAGTAAATAAAGTAGGGCATAACAGAGGCGAAATTGGAAAAATCGAAATTTCCCCCAATAAAAATTTTTCGAAAATGATAACGTACTTCGGTAAACGATGGGTGCGCTGCTCTTCTTTTTCTTGTTCCTGCTTCACCGTTGTGCCAACAGCATTTCGTTTTAGTGGAGGTGGACTGGTCGATCTCATAATTTGGCTGCTTACTTGTGGATACAGAGGTTGAGGCACCGGCAAAACGGGCATTCCCACTGAGCTTGGCGGCGATAGTTGCTGCAATTAGCTGATTTTCGTTGGCATACAGGGAGTTCAAGCATTTTTAGAAAAAAAAGGAGTTCCGGCACTTTTGAAGAAAAAGTTAGTTACACAATTTCATCGCCGCAAAGTGACCATTACTTACCTTGATTAGTACGATGAAGGAATTTGAAACAACCCCTTTTCAGTTCAAAAGAAGCTAATAAACAAATTGGCACCATTTCATCCATAAAAGAAAAACTTTCTTATGCCATAAATATTTACACTCTAAACCGAGGAACAACGTGCCAGGACCTGCCGGTGCGATTATGCTCTTTTGACGATTTCTGAAGTTCGCCAAAACTTTCACATGTGCGCAAGCGAGATCTATGCATACCTAGGAAGTGAATTTGAAACCTTTGGATCATACAGGGACGAAGAACATCCTCTTAAAATTTCAGCTTTCCAGCTCTCTTGGTTCCCAGCTTAGTGATTTTCCAGTTGAAATTTTTCCGTGCCCATACGTGGGATGCAGGCCTGCGTGAAAGTCGATAAACACGTTTCTGAGGTCGTACTTGACTAGGGAATAAACTGACAAAATTTCAACATCTAAGCTTGCTTGATTTCGAGTTGAAACATCATGGCAGAACCATCATACGAACACATACATAAAAGCATGCACACACACAGACACACACACACACACACATGGTCGTCACAATATGCGCTTTTGCTTGCTATTTCAGAGCTACGGCGCAGCACAGCAAAAACGCATAAAAAGATGAAAAGCATTTGGAATTGGCCACAGCATTAGCAAATGTCTCTGACAACAATTATGATAAGACTGCCGACTGTTCCTTTTTTGAGTTACTTAGAAGCACTCCGATGTCTCTGGTATGCACCAATTTATCATAGAAAGAATGAACGAATTGTACAGCAATTTAGCCGGCAAAACTGGCGAAGTTGACTTTTAATCTTCAGCAGCATTTTCTTTTTTTTCAAAAAAAAAATCAAACAATTTTCACATTTTGTGCTGGACAACTTATAGTACTGTTACAAAAAATACTCTTACACTCACTAACTCCACCAATAAGAAAACTAAGATCACTATTTTCCGGTTCGGCAGTTTATGCATACCAAAGAGTCGAAATCGCTATTACACTACAGTTAATAGAGTTGTCAGGCAACGGCCATTATCGGCAACGTGCTTTTTTTCGGGTTACTTTTCTGGGTGTTTCTACCCGTCAAAAAACAATAATTTAGGGAAAAACATATGTCTTTTGAACTAACCTGTATAAGAATAATTAGACAATTCGAACCAAAGAGTCAAAATCGCTATTAAACTACAGTTAATAGAGTTTTTAGACAACGACCATTATCAGCAATGTGCTTTTTCCCGGATTACCCGCCGAAAAACAATGAGATAGGGAAAAAGATGACTTTGGAACTAACCTATACAATAACAGTTTGACAATTCGAAATCCCAGTAGCCAAATTCAAATAAATCTAACAGCTAATTTAGAAAATTTCTGAGAAGGGAAGCAGCATCGCTGCTGTGCAAAATGCTGAAGATTCGGTTCTGCCAAACAATCCCTCTACGATTCAGTTGTAGTTTCGATGATAAATTGGTACTGGCATATGCCGCGGAGTCAAACTCGTCATCAGCATGCTTGTAAGCAACCTTCGAAAGAAGAAATATCGAAAGCGCGTTGCCAGCGAGTGGCTGCTGTTGGCATTTACCATCACTTGGATGACTTCTCAAGTGCTTATGCCATTCACAGAAAAACGAGTACAGGAGGGTTTCTAACTTCTTAAATTAAAAAAAAAAATGTTTATAAGATAAAAGCAATAAAATATTGCTACCTTCCAAATTGCACGCTCTATGGGGCTTTCAGCCAACGATTCCATTTTATCCACGCTACGCGGTGATACCGAGCTCGGCTCCGAAATGCTCCATTTG